CAGTTAAGTGTCTGGCTCTTGATTTTGGCTCAAGTCATGACCTCACGGTTCCTGAGTTTGAGCCCTGTTTGGGCTCTATGCTGACAGTGCGGAGCCTGCTTGAGATTCTCTCTCTCTCTCCGTCTCTCTCTGTCCTTCCCTTGCTCATGCTCTCTCTTTCTCTAAGTAAATAAACTTGAAAAAATTAAAAGGGCCCTTGGGTGGCTCAGTCGGTTAAGCGTCCGACTTCAGCTCAGGTCATGATCTCATGGTTCATGAGTTAGAGCCCCGTGTCAGGCTCTGTGCTGACAGCTCAGAGCCTGGAGCCTGCTTCAGATTCTGTATCTCCCTCTCTCTGCCCCTCCCCTGCTCACACTCTCTCTTTGTCTCTGTTTCTCTCTCAAAAATAAATAAACATTAAATTTTTTTTTAATTAAAAAAAAAATAGAGGTGCCCAGGATGCTTGAGTCGTGAGCACTAAGCTGGAGAGCTGCCTCCCGGCCGCTGGGGCTCCCTGCTGGGAGGGAAGGCAGCTTGTGTGCTTCTTCCAAAGATTATAGTTAAATATTTACCGTGTATAAAATATGCAAATTATAGGGCTCTTCAAAGTCAGCCTCAGATGAGAGGCTGTGGCCCCTCTGAAGTATTGATGTGGAGGCTCCCTGGAAGGAGCCACCGCTGTGCTTTGCGGGGTCCAGCAGCCTGTCCTTCTCAGAGCTGGGGTGGGCAGAGCCTGGGCGGCCTCATTTCGGGAACGAAAGGACAGACAGACAGGGCAGGACGGCGCTCCTCTCCTGCGCCTCATTACGTGAAGTGCACACATGTCTCCCCCGCTGCCGTGGTGAGATCCTCACGTCTGAGGGCATGGTTGTGGCACCCACCGTGTCCTGAGCACAGGGGAGGGTCTCGGAGCCCTGTGTGCTGGGAGGTGACGTGATGGCCCCGCCTCGGCCAGGCACAGTCAACTGCTCGGCAAAGTTGCCGCAGTTCTGGGCCTCTGTCCTGGCTTCCGGAAAACCAGGGTGTGCCCACGTTGGAATACTTCTCGGGGCCCCATTTCCCTGGAGGAAACTCTGCTTCCCGAATGCTGCAAGCTGACTTCACAGGATCTTCCCCCACCGTGTGCGGGTTTCTGCATCTCGGAATTCATCTTCCGATTACTGAGTGAGAGAATGGGTTGTGAAAATGTCCGGCCCAGGGTCTGGCGCGTCGGGGTCGCTGACCGAAACAGGCGTCACTTGCTTCATCTGTGAGCCGAAGGCCCCATGTATTCCCACCTCCCAGATTAAAGCCAGGGAAGGATAATGAATCTGGCTACGTGACAGTGAAGGGCAGTGTATTCAGAACAGAGGAACGGGTGGACCGAAAGCCAACACTGGGGTGCAGTTTTTAATCTCTCAGCGATGACCCAACGGTTTAAAGTTAAGATGTTTATGCTGCCTGATCAAAATAACCCAATCGTGGTAGCTTAACATTTTATAATTGAACGCACCCCCAAAACCTCTGGCAGCTTTTCACCGAGGAAGGAGCAGGGCAGGGACATTGGACCCCGAGCCTCGTTCCCCACCTTCTGCATGGATACATTCCTTGCAAAATCGGAAGCACGTGTGGAAGGGAGGCAGGAGAATGAGGGTCGTCCCTGCAGCCGGAGTCTGGAACCCCAGCTAAGGCACAGGCTGCCAGACGCCGGGGAGGGGGCATCTCCAGTGTCTGCGCTTGCGACTCTGCCGTGCTGTCCACCGTGCTCACACGGATGTGATGGGGCTGGTCCTGAAGGACGCACAGCACGTCGCTGCGGGGATTTTCATCGCAGCCACACCTCTCTGCTCACAAGTGCGTAAGGGGCTCAGGGCATGCAGAGCGCCTTTCTCTTCCCCCTGCGGCCCCGTGCGCCTCCGTGGGAAGGTGATCCAAGATCAGCATCCTCACCAAGCCGCCGCGAGGAGAGAGGGGCTGGACAGAGAAGCGCAGACCTTCCTCCACTCCTGAGGGGGTTTTGTCCTGATAAATTCATCTTCAGTCGAAAACATCTTAAGCAGAAAATGCACTCAACACACCACCCTCCCGCACAGCACGGCGGAGCCCGACGCGCCTGACCCGTGCTCGGAACTCTTACATGACCGACCGGCGGGCAAAGTGCTTTTCTCACAAAGCCTGTTTTACAGTAAGGTGCCGAAGATCTCGCGTAAGCGGCTGAGTGTTGACCTGAAGGTGGGAAGCCGAAGTGGCTGCGTGGGAGCAGAAGGGTGCTCGGGGCCTCGGTTGTGGACCCTTGTGACCACACAGCGGCCTGGGAGCCCCTCGGGCCCTACTGCGTGCCGACAGCGCGGGAGGAGAGCCCTATTCACCAGAGCACGTATGCACATCAGTCTTGCACCGTCAAGGAGCCTCTGCGTAAGAAGAGGAGAAACACGTCTGCAGCTGAGGGTGACAACACGCTGGCAATGCTGTTTGTCCCCTGGGAACGGTGGGAGACTCGGATAACGTGAGAGTTTGGACCTTATTCTGGAGGCGTCTTGTGTCCAGATAAAAAAATATGGACTCCGTGTTTTCTTTCTGTTTCTCCTTGGAAACCCTCCGGAGCTGCTGGAGGGGGTTGGCGACACTGGGGAGAGGGGTGAGTGTCCTGGTGGTGCAGGGCAGGGGTGCGGTGTGCAGGGCTGTGGCCTGGTGCGTGGGCGCAGACGTGGTGTGGAGGAGGAGACCCTGACGGCTTCTTAGACGTGTCACGAGGGATGGCAGTGGCCGGAGTGAGGATGATGTAACTTTGAGTTTGGTGATGGGGGGGGAGGGAATGATGGGGACATTAATGGTCCCGGCCAAGCTGGGGATCCTGGCTGGGCCTGCATTTCTCCTAGATGAGGAGGGGAATCTGACTATGGGAGGGGGTCCTGTTTCATCCCCGAGCAGGTGAACTGCCTCAGTCCTGGTACTGACCGTCTGCAGGGAACGCAGACCCCACGTGTCAGTGCCCTTCAGATACCAGCCACGCCCCCAGGACCCCAGGCCGCCCTCACTTCTGACCAGTTGGAGGTAAATTCAAGGAGCCCCAGGACCTTGTCTGCTTTGATAGTTCACCAGAACGGCTCACGGCCTCAGGAAGGCACTGCACTTACAAATGGCATTAGCGTAGAGGATGGAAATCGGCTGGGCCAGCCTCACGGTCTGGGGGAGAAGCAGACCCCTGTGCCCTCTTCCCCTGAAGCCCCAGAGGCCAGCAGGCCCAATGCGCCAGCCCTCCGCTCACATGACCTGTTATATCATTTGAACCTGGCTCCTTGGACAAAATCTACCGTCTAGAATACTCCTGTGCTTCATGGCAACTCTTAAGCTATCAGAAGACATGTCCTGCTGCATCTTGCCCCGTGTGTGTGTGTGTGTGTGTGTGTGTGTGTGTGTGTGTGTGTATCTTCAGGTTCAGCGAGTCCAAGATGCTCCCATGTTTCTAGAATCCTCCCATTCCCAAGCCCCCATCAGCTAACTGAATTTCTCTGAATGCTTTCTGATCTGGAAAGCCCCGATTCCTGTGTGCAGCCACACACGCCACTGAATACACACGTCACCCCCCTCCCAGCACCCAGTGGGACACGCACCGCCTCTGGGCAGGCTTCCAGGGCTTTGTAAGCCCCTGCACGTGCCCCTGACAGCGTGGGTCACGGCACATCATGGGTCACCGCACGTCAAGTCAGTGTGCGAGCTAGAGGGTGAGGGGGCCGGCACGTCCTGTGAGGTGGGGGTGAAGGCCACGCTGGGGGAAAGAGAGACAGACAGGAGAAAAACAGGTGGGGGTGTAATGGGTCCAGACAGGCAGGGGGTCAAGACCAGGCAACTGAGTTCAGCACTAATGTGAACATAGATCCAGTGCAGGATCTAGGAAACCGCGCGCCCGGCACTGAGCGCACACAGTGGAGGCCTCCAACAAACCATCTGGACGATATTCATTTAAAGTCAAGGAAATTGCTCCGGAGCACTGTACGGTGGGCTTGCCGAATCCATAGCCTCCGCCGTTCTTTCTGCTGTGAAAGAAGTTGCTCCGGTGTGTGGCTGAGCCTGCGACGGAAAGGGAAAAGCTGGCACCGCCGCAGAGGGGAGCGGGTGGCCGTGGACGGGAGTGCAGACTCGCGGTGGCACAGCCGTGGGGCGTTTGGAGAACTGCAGCTTTTCACTTATTTATGTTTACTCCTGCCCCTGTGGTGTTTCTGGAAAGATCGAATATGCTGCCATAAGCGAATGCAAAACACGATGATAGGCTTCATTACGTGAGCCCACAGCGGGAGAGAACACAGGCTGGCCCCCGAAACGTGCCCGTTGGGGTGGCCTCCACACACTTCGCTGCGGGCCTTTGAAACAGCCGGTCGGAGGAGGGAAAACCAACTGCTCTCACATCGGACAGTAAGGGGAAACGCAAGTGGTTTGCCTGGAGTTTCGGAGTCCCGATAGCAAACGGGCTGGCTCGGCTGGGGTAGGGAAGGCCGTGTGATGGCAGGAGCAGCCTTTTTGGTAAGATCCTTAAAATTGCTAAGTCGGTGGCGATTTCTCCACGGCGGCTGTTGTCTGCACACACCCCCGGAAGGCAGACAGACAACACAAAACCGAAGAAGGGGCCCCACACACAGCTCGGCCGTTGAGACCGTTCGGTGTTCGCTCTGTCTAGACTTGGCTTGTCGAGAGGGATGTTTTTGATTATTGGCCAGGTTCCATCAGATAACCCCCTTGCGTGTGTTATCGAGTCTTTCCGAGTCTGTTCTTCCCACCCCGACAAATACGGCTGACGTATTACTTACGCCGCAGGATGCTTATAAGGATTGGGGCATAAAGTGACAGCCCAGCGTCTGCCGGGCGAGGTGTGTTCAGGACGTGCTGGGTATTTCTCACAGGACCGTAGGGTCCCAGTGTAGACTGGCTGTGGATTTTCTCTTGTGGTGTTCGTGGGTCATGCCTGGGGGGCAGGAGGTGCCTCGCAGGCACAGGGTCTGCTCACCTGCGGGCAGAGGGCTCACCGATCCATTTGTCCTTCACAGGAATAACGCTCTACAGCCACCCGTATGGAGGGGCTTTGCTGAACGAGGACAAGATGTGAGTCCCAGGACCCCTGGGTGAGGGCGGAACAGAGTCTATGGGTGGCTCAGCGGTGATGGCCTGCCGCACTTGCGCGGAGGGGTGCTGGCTTGGGCATTTCTTTGCAAAGTGTCAAGAAAATGGTTGTTAAGAGGAGAATGTGCATTGACCGAGTTTAAAACATGAGCTTATCCTACACCCCAGTCTTTCTAAGTCAAAATTGGTCTGAAGAAGCGATCTTCCTGAAATTCAGGGGCTCCACATCTTCCAGACATTTTTTAGGGGTATAATCTCTTTTATTTGAAGATTTTTTTTTCCTATTCCCAACGTGGGACTCAAACTCCTAGCCCCGAGATCAAGAGTCGCACACTCCACTGGCCAGGCACTTGGGGGAGGGGCAGAGAGAGAAGGAGACACAGAATCAGAAGCAGGATCCAGGCTCTGAGTTGTCAGCATGGAGCCTGACATGGGGCTTGAAGTCACGAACTGCGAGATCATGACCTGAGCCCCCCAGGAGTCCCACTTGAGGTACAGTCTTAAACATGGTGTTCGTGTAGGTGAGCATAGCAAGGCCTTCTGGAAAATTCCTCATGCCAGGCTTTGCTCACGGACAGATGGGGGATAAAGCCGCTTCTCTCCCTGTTCAGAGCTAAGTGTTAGTTTTCATTCCCTCCTAGAAGGCGGGGTACTTCTGCCTGCCTTCTTCTTTCCCACCCCCTTCCCCTTGGTACGGCAGACGCCGGCCACAAGTCTGGCTGTGGGCTTGCTGAGCGAGAGATGATGCACCACAGTGGACACTGTGATGAACCATGTCTTCCCTCCAGCCTTCTGCATGTGTGCCGGTCAGGGCTAAGGAGGGGGCAGTTGGCAGCCCTCTAGTTAACAGATGACCAAGAAAGTGCCCTGTGTGTACTATCACAATTATTATTCCACCTCTTTCCATTACAGAATCATTTTGATATTCTGACAGACTAAATCCAGAGGTGGGCCAGCGACCTGGGGATCCCCAGCTAACACCCCCTCTCCTTCCCTGCACATGTCTCAGCATGCATATGCCCGTGGTCCCAACGTGGGCAGAGGCCACAGCTTGCTGTGGACACCATGCTACGGATGTCTTTCATTATCACTGGGGAGTCGGGCTCAGGCGTCCAGCGTAAACTCTGAGATTGGCAGGCTCTGAAATGTCCCCTCACTTTGCACCCCTCAGTTGAGCCTTCTAGAAGTGGGGAGCCATCGCCTACGCCTCCTCAGAGGGCTATCCGAGGGCCGAGTCCACGTGCTTAACCAGCATGCCCTGCTCACCCTAAGTTCTTGATTCGTGGTTTCCAGCGCCCTTCCCCTCGCGGCTGGTCGTCTCCAGGGGAATGGAGATGCGCGTCCTTCGTGTGAGCCTGACAAGCTGTTGTGTTCTGCCTGCAGCATGGAGAGCATCCGTCAGTGTGGCGTCGCCCTCTGCATCGTGCTTGGCTTCTCCATCCTGTCGGCATCCATCGGGAGCTCCGTGGTGAGGGACCGGGTGACCGGAGCCAAGAGGCTGCAGCACCTAAGTGGGCTCGGCTACAAGACGTACTGGCTCACTAACTTCATGTATGACATGGTAGGAACCCAGAGCCACATCCCGTGCGCCCGAATGTGCGCGTGTGCGTGTGTGCGTGGGTGTGTGTGAGGAGACGCCGCTGCAGACTGTCCACACGAGAACGGATCGTTGCATTGGTAAGAGCGGTTGACAGACTGTCCACACGAGAACGGATCGTTGCATTGGTAAGAGCGGTTGACAGACTGTCCACACAAGAACGGATCGTTGCATTGGTAAGAGCGGTTGAGGTTCAGGTTCCGTCTCCGTCTCCGTCTGTCATCTGGACGGATGACTTCCTAAGACGCAAGACCGACCAGCCACACACAGGAGCTCCGGGCACTCACTGACCTGCCCGCCAGTGCAGTCTCTTGTCGGGAAGAAGACGCCATAATCCTCTACTATGCTCTTTTCAAGGGGCAGAAGGGGAGATGATAAAAAGCGTTAGAACTGACCCTCCGTCCCCCCACCCCCAGTGACCGCAGCCTGGCGTGTTCTCCTGGTGCTCAGCTCGCCAGTGGACGCTCTCTAGGTCATGGCCCTCCTCCCGCGGAGGACAGCATCAGCGCCCTTCGTTCCCCGGGCCTGCAGACATTTATCTGGAATCAAGAGCCTCTTCGTAGAGAAAGGGTCAGGCTGTCCTCGTGAACATGCCACTGTCCCGCCTTACCTGTGATGGTGCTCGGGGACCGCAGCTCTTCCGGGGAAGGAGGAGGCGTCCCCAGGGTGGGAGCATGCGAGGTGGGGGTGGGTGTCCAGGGCACGAGGGGGCCCGTCGTCTCCCAGACTCCAGCAGTCTGTCCCCCCCTTTTCTGCAGCCCTTACCTTATTATCCCCTTGTCCCTGCTGCTGAACGTGGCTCCTCTGTTCCCTGCGATGCCTGCCTTGGGGTTGGAGGGCAGAGAGTATTTTCTTCCTGGTTGACTGTGTCCTCCATCTTCATCTGATCATCTCCTGCCTCTTAGATGGATTAAGTCACTCAATTAGTGGGTATTTTTGGAGACCCTTCCTGGGGCAGGGTGTGCCCGCGGTGCTGGAGACAAAGCCTCGACCAAGGCACAGAAGTCCTCCGCCCCCTTGGCCATTGTATATTCTCACGAGGGGAATCGGGAAACAAACAGACCAACAAACACACCAGATCCAGGGACTAGATTTATTGTAGGGTGACTTAGATCAGGAGGCGGGGGAAGGACTCGTGGGGAGGCAGCGTGGAGACCGAGCTCTGAGAAGCAGGGAGGAGGCAGCCCCGTGGACAGCGTGAGGAAGGGCTTGGCCAAGGGCCCCGGGAGGAGAGCGGCGGGCGTGTGGGAGTCCTGGTCAGTGGAGGGGGGGAGGGAGGGGTTTGTAAGGTGGCCTCCATCTTCCTGTCCTCGAGTCCAGGTGTGGGAAGAAGCCACGTGTCCTGGAAGGTGTCAGGACCCCTGGACCTGCCCCGAGGGAGGAGGGGGTGGTGGGTTCCAGGGCGGCTGTCACAGCAGGCCCCCAATGGACGGTCTGTCCATCCTGGTGCTGGAGGCTGAAGTCCAAGACCCAGGCGTGGCCGGGCCACTGCCTCCCGAGGCGTCTGTCCCGGGCACATGTCTTCACGTGCTTGTCCCTCCGTGTGTCCTGTTCTTCTAAGCACAGAGTCATGTCAGGTCGGGGCTGCTCCAGCGACCTCCTGTACCATTATTGCCCCTTTCGAGGCACATCTTCGAGTACAGTCCCATTCTGAGGTCCTGGGCCTTCAGCATATGCCTGGGGGGCGGGGACACAGTGGGGACTCAGTCCAGCCCGGACGGTGACTCCCGGGGGTGAACCCCGCCGTACAGACGGGTCGGCTGCAATACGGGGAAGGAACCCTCTTCGGCAGGAGCTGAGCCGAGACACCACCGCCTTTTTCTTGTTCCCCCAGGTCTTTTACTTGGTTTCCGTGTGCCTGTGTGTCACTGTCATCGTCGCCTTCCAGTTGACGGCGTTCACGTTCCGCGAAAACCTGGCGGCCACGGCCCTCCTGCTGGCGCTTTTCGGGTGCGTGATCAGAGATTCCGCTGCAGAATTACGGTTTGTCTCCTGGAAGAGAAAGTCCCCCCAGACGGCTTGCAGCCCGCCGTCGGCTTTGTGATGTTCTCTCTTCTCCAGCAAGTAGGGTGCCCTTGGCAGGGCCGCACAGCAGACGGGCTGAGTGGGTGATGCTCGCGCCCCACGGAGGGGGCGGCCTGGCCGGGGAGGCGTGGGCTGTCTCCACCCCGGCCCCCAGCCGTCTGCCAGACTCGGGCGGTCGGAAGTAGACTCTAGGTTACTCTCACTCTGACATCCATCTAGAGCGGGAACCCGGACTCCAGTTAGCACCCAAATGGCCTTTCAGAGGAGCCTCTCCGGCGAATCCTCATGTCTGGCACGATTTTCCCTCTCCCGTGACGGTGGGGTCTGGAAGCGTGGGGTCTGCCTCCATCGGTTTCCTCAGAGGAGAAACAGCAAGAGCAGAAAAGTCACTCTATAGATTTCCCATTTTCTTTTCAAAGTGTATTTATTTATTTTGAGAGAGAGAGAGCAGGAGCCGGGGGGGAGGGGCAGGGAGAGGGAGAGAGCCCCAGGCAGGCTCCATGCTGTCAGGAAAGAGCCAGACGTGGGGCTCGATCCCATGAACCGTGAGATCGTGACCTGAGCCGAAATCAAGAGTTGGACGCCTAACTGACTGAGCCCCCCAGGCACCCCCAGAGTATTAATTTTTATTCACACTAATCAGGATTGTTGTGGGGGCTCCTCAAATTATACCTGCCTGGTGTCCAGAATGTAGAAGTGTGTGCCTTCTTATATGTTGGGCCTACGTACAGATCCAGGCTGAGCGTGTGAGACACACTTGCTGAGTGTAGGGAAGATGAGGAACATGCTAATTTATTATAATTCGAGGCTAATGATTTTTGAAGACAAAGCGTTCTGCTTTATTTCCACCCAAGATGACAAGTAAAATGATTTTTGCACAGATCACAGTTTTGTCAGTGATCCAAAGCATTTATTTAGGGGACAGAATTGAATCTAAACAAGTATATGTCATTGTTAGATGACTGTGTGGATGGATAGATGGCCGGGAGACGGAGAGACAGACACTCTCTAACTCCGTGGCCTTGGGAAGAGTAATTACTCCCTCTAAGCCTTGTTTTCTTCAGTGTAGAGCTTCCGTTCTGTGCTGTGAAGAGTCGATACTTCATACAAACCTCACAGATAGTAAGTGGAAAAGGGTCCATTGAATTAGTTTTGGCCCCATGGTTATAATGAGAACCATTCTTGTATGTGGAGGCTGTTAGGTCACAAGGTGTGAAAGTGCTTATGGTAGCGCCTGTTTGTTATCCTCCGCTGGAAATGTGGGTTCCCAGATGTAAAGACTCTGTATGAGGGGTCCTGGTCCTCTGGAAAAGGTGTGAGTCATTTCAGTGTATTGATCCTGTTGAATGGATGGTGTAGTCGTGGCTCCTGATGGTGGGATTAAACATACTCCACTGTAGCTCATTTTTGAGCTTTAGGAAAGCGGAGTTCATGGAGTTTAAGGTAACAGACAAAATTAAAGGTTAGAAATTCCTGAGAACCGTGTTTGGAGGAGTGGACACGAAGCTCGTTTCTCTCAAGGGCACCTTGGAGAGCCTGGGACTAGTCGCTGCATGTGCGCCCACAGCATTTTCCCGAGAATTCGGGAGCTCACGGATCCCTGGCCACATGTCCAGGCCTAGCCGGGGTGCTGCCGCTCAGGTGAAGAATCCAGAGGTCAGATGGCCCACAGGGGTCTGCAGACATAGCAGGCGGTGCCTGAGGCTGGGGACCCCAGGGAAGAAGGTCCCCGAGGAGGCTGGCTGGGATCATGGGGCAACATCCTGGGGGCCGTAGGGTCCTTCTCACTTACACGGGGTTCTTTCGTCGGGGCCAAGCCACCCCGTGGGTGCCCCGTCTCCCTCACACGCAGGTGGGCAGGGGTGCCAGCCCTGCTTTGTCCCCAGGAGGGAGGCATGAAGAGCGGGAGCACAGTGTCGGGAAGGCTAGGCACCAGAGCGCACTGCGACCTGCGGACGGGCAGGTGTTAAAAGGGGCTTGGAATCACATGGAGTTTGGAATCTGAAGAAATTAGGGATCAGATAAGCGCATCTCAAAGAGACCCAGAAGATATCCAGTGACAATGGTCTTGTTTTCTTTTTTCCTGCTCGATCTAGCCAGGAAAATGTTATATTTAAGCTGGAAAGTGGGGACAATTAGCATCAAAAAGAAGAAAGGAACGCCAGAAAGAATCTAGTGTCTGTGAACAGTGGGAACCATGAGAACATATTTGGTGCCTGTTTGGTGTTAACGGTTGTGAGGACGGACCGCGGGGTCCTGTTCCACATCTTAGAAAATTCACGTGGTGTGGATGAGGGGCCCGCTTTCCCAGAAAACTCCGTAAATTCCACAATGAGTGTGAACAGCAGGCCCCTACCCAGCAAATGCCAAAATTATTAAAATTATATTACATCCTAGAGATTGGTACAGCCACTGTAGATTGCACTAAAAAATAAATTAGGCTCTAGAAGCCTCTTTAAATTAAAAAATTTTTTTTTCGTGTTTATTTTTGAGAAAGACAGAGTATGAGCAGGAGAGGAGCAGAGAGACAGAGGGAGACACAGAACCCGAAACAGGCTCCAGGCTCTGAGCTGTCAGCACAGAGTCCGACGCGGGGCTCGAACCCACGAACTGTGAGATCATGACCTGAGGCGAAGTCGGATGCTTAACCGACTGAACCCCCGCCAGGAGCCCCTCTTGATGGCTTTTGATTCTCACTTCAACAAATAGGAACCATTTGTGCTTTACTGGTGAAGATCGGAGGAAAGAAGTAAGACCCAGGCTTGCCCCTTTGGGCGAGGGACGTGGGGACTTCCTCCAGGTTTCAGAGTCCCAGGTGTAGGTGCACACGGCCCAGGGGTTGACCGTACCGTGTTGCTGCCGTTATTACCCAGTGCTGCCTGGAGCCTCCCGTGTGCTCTGTGTTCGGGCGATACCGTGGGATTTGTCGTCAGTGCCTTCAAGTGTGTCTCTGTTCACTAAGTGAGGAGAAGCGACCAGGCCAACAAATTCTACGCTTCCATCTTTGTACAAACACACGTTGCAGGAAAACATACATGAGTTTTCCCCTTTGTTCTTTAGATACGCGACTCTCCCGTGGATGTATCTGATGTCCAGAATCTTCTCCAGCTCCGACGTAGCGTTCATCTCCTACGTGTCCCTGAACTTCATCTTTGGGCTCTGCACCTTGCTGATGACCGTCATGCCCCGGCTGCTGGCCATCATCTCCAAAGCTCAGGTCAGTGGGCTCCCGCCTCACCTCCCAGGGCACCCCGAAGATGCGCATGTTGCCTCTTCCTCCTGCCGTTGCTTTTCCAGCTGGAAGGAAAGGAAAATGTGCCAGTTGCTCACTGTCTTTAACCTCTGGGAAGACAGACGGACCCTGATAAACACAAACATCTGGGCCAGTAGGAGAGCCGCGCTCAGGCCTGGCGAACATCGAGGGCAGACGCCCGAGAATGTTCTCCGCTGCTTTCCTGTTTGTTGATAAGTTACTGATGGCTGCTTGGAAGGGCAAATGAGGGAATGAACTGTGTCCCACCCGTGTGTCTCAGGATTAGGAGTCAGAGCTCCTCTCTCTGCGGTCACGTGCTTGCTACAGCATGAGGTGGCTGCTGTGGCTTGCCACGCTCTGCGACCACAGGACGGCTGGGTTATTGGGGCGGCTCTGCCCCCTTTCCTGAGAGCTCCGTGACATCCCGAGTCAGCCACTTGCCGAGTGTGCCCTGAGGATGGCCTCTGTTCCCCCAGGGAGGGTGTGTGACAGTGCATCTCCGACCCTCTCCAGCAGGCGCTCACATCAGCGAGTCGCTTTCCGGGGACCGTCCCGGCACACGTCTCCATCAGGCTGGATCCGGTGGTGCCCCGGCCACACGCCTGCCGCCCATCTCCTCTCCTGGGTCTTGTCTGCTGTGTCCCCGCCTCAGCCTCCCCTGCACTTGCCCTGGGACTGATGTCAGTTTGCACTTAGTTCTGTCCTCTTCATCCCTGCTGTCTGCTCGGATCCTCATTCCTCAGGCGTCCGGGTGTGCGATTGGCCGGTGGGCTGAGAAGTTAGCCTGGAAGAGGGCTCAGCCCCTCCAGTGCTGCCGGCCCGTCTCTGGCCAGTCGGGGACGGACGCCTGCCTCATTGGGGCCTGGGCGCTTGGAGACGTCCGGGGATGGCCACCACTGTCCTCTGGTTCTGCGCCATGTTGGGTGGAAGCACCAAGTACGGAAACATTCATTAGGCATTCGATGGAGGAAACGACCTGTTCGGGGAGTTTTGCAGGTCAGGTGTTAACACTGATCTGTACTAATGGGTAGCCTGTGTGTAGAAAACTAATACAACGATCGGGCTTTAGCTAGAGGAGGAAGGTAGAGGAAGCGTTACACGACTTTCCCCTCCAGCCCGCCGGGCCTCTGACGGGCTCGGGCCACGCGGATGTCCTCAGGAGCTATGAGGGGGAAAGGAAATAGACTCTGGAGACGCTCCGGCTGTGGGAAGGGTGAAGCTCTAGGGGATGGGATCGCAGGAAGAAAGGAAAAGGAGGGAGATCCCCTGGACCCAGAGAGGAGACAAGCCGGGAGCCTCCGTGTCCGTGACATTCTGGCACAGAGGCCAGTGTCCAGTTACAAACGGCACTGCTGACATAGGTCGATGGGCAACGAGTTGCTTGTGGGACAGAGGACCAAGTTCGATTGCTAACAAGTAATAAGAGACATCTCACTGTTGTGCTAAAGTCTTTCTTTCCCTTTGCGCTGTATTTTGATATTATTTACTTAAGAAAACCAACGTCATAAAGCGGTGATTTCAAATATTCACTTGTAAGCCTCCGAGCAATAAATATATTCTTCTAGAACCAATCAGAGCTGACTGAGTTCTCAGATCAGCCTCACGAGGCAGTGAGCCAGGTTGTATTATTAAGCTTTGTGCCTCCACATAATGATGTTAATTGGGGTACTGTAATTTTTACCCGATTACAGTTTTTAAGCAGATTTCTCTTTTTTTAAATTTTTAAATGGGTTTTTAGTTTTGAGAGAGAGGGGAAGAGAGAACGAAGGAGGGGCAGAGAGAGAGAGAGAGAGAAGGAGACACACAATCCAGAGTAGGCTCTGAGCTCTGCTGAGCACAGCGCCTGATGCAGGGCATGAACTCACGAACTGAGGGATCATGACCTGAGCCAAAGTCAGATGCTTAACTGACTGAGCCACCCAGGTACCTTTGGTTTCTTCTTCTTTTTTTAATGTTTATTTATTTTTGAGAGAAAGACAGAGTGTGAGTGGGGGAGAGGGAGATCAGAATCGGAAGCAGGCTCCAAGCTCTGAGCTGTCAGTGTGAGCCCAACGCAGGGCTTGAACCCACGAACCGCAAGATCATGACCTGAGCTGAAGTCAGACTCTTAACTGACCGAGCCACCCAGGCGCCCCGAGCTGATTTCTATAGAAAATGTATTTTGAGTTCTAACTCACAATCTCAAACATCTTTCTTTCTCACTGGTGAGAATCTCAGTGTTTCAGGGAGAGAGAGGTCAGCAGAGGAGAAACTCAAGAGTTACAGGAAATTATTTCTTTGCACACTTCATCAATGTGCAGTTATCTTAAATAGGACAGGTATAGATTGTTATTCTCTAAATAACAATCCTCATTGTTAACATGTGGATTACTTGTGGTGCCTGGTGGTCTCAGTCGCTCAAGTGTCTGACTTCAGCTCAAGTCATGATCTCACGGTTGGCGAGTTGGAGCCCCATGCTGGACTCTGTGCTGACAGTGTGGTGATTCTCTCCTCTCTCTCTCCTTCTCTCCCTGTCTCTCTGTCTCTTTCAAAATAAATAAACTTAAAAAAATTTTTTTTAAATGTGGCTTCCTTAGTTACCAGTTCCTGAGTCAGAAGCTGTAATATTCTACCATTTCTACATTCTAACCAGTGAGAGAAAATCCTTCCATGTGGCACATTATTTGATTCATGGGCACAGTTTTATAAAACCTGGGATTCATAAGCCCCATTAGGACTGGTTGAAATCTATAAAGAGTGGTAGGTGGTCAAGACGAGAGTTAAGGGAAAATGAAATGAAGCTTTCATGTCTTTCCCATGTCTGTATGCAAAAGACAATCAGCCATAATGAAACGATTCTTGCCCCTTTATTGGATTTTCTGTTGCGCCCAAATCAAAGTATTTAAGACTACATTTAAACAAGTCTGGCTATCAGTTTCCATCGTAAGGGAAAACTGGACATTGTCTGGGGTGAAATACAAAATTGATAATTTTCTAAACTACTCTTTAATACGTGTGATACGGCATACCCCTGTTGTGTATTCTAACGTACACGGTATGATGGGTTTGCACCCTTATAAAATATCTCTGTTGTATCAGTTGTTGAGTTTGGCCATAAGCAGAGAGCAGCTTTGAACACGTGAGCCTCAATTCTTGATTCTATTTCCATAGCTTTGTCAGGCAGGCGGTAAATGTGGTCTTCCTGGGTTACATGCTCAGCTACTCTGTGTCTAAAAGTCAGCTCAGAAGACCCCTTTGCAGTGAATTTTTTCCAAAGGCTGCGTTCCTTGGTGGAGAGATTTTATTCTTCGGGCTAGAAAGATCAGGGTCAAGTCCTGATCCTACCACAGTGTGGCTTAAACACATCCATCAGCCTCTTGAGCCTGTGTCCCCAGTGGTAACTGGGTCTACCTGTCAGGACTTTGTACCTTTATGGAGAGACTGAAGTGCAGTGGCTTCCCTCAAGGTGCCAGACTGTGGTAGTTTCTAGGAAGTCCTAGTGGATGACAGTTAACACTGTGACAATTCTAACCTCATTATGAAATAAAGCTCACATTCATAAAACACCAGGCAGTAAGAAAAATAGCAAACTTTATGGGGAATGTTGAATTTTTATATATATTTAATTTAAAAATTGTATATTGTTCAAGGATACAGCTTGTCCTGTATTGTTTTTTATTTTCTTGGCGATTATATACAATTCGATGTTTCCTTCTGTTCTCTTATTTGTCCTTGGCCTTGAAGCAACACTTTAGAAACACAACTATATGTATATGTTAGAGTTTTTACTTATTTATTTTGAGAGAGACAACACAAGCAGAAGAGGGGCAGAGAGAGGGAGAGACAGAATCCCAAGCAGGCTCCGCACTGTCAGCACGGAACACGATGACGAGCACGAACCCGTGAACTGTGAGATCATGACCTGAGCTGAAACCAAGAGTCAGACGCTTAACCAACTGAGCCACCTAGGCACCCCGGCAACTACACATGTTTAACATTTACTGTATGCCAAGTTTGGACAAGGCATTTTACATGTGATTTATGTGTTCCCAGCGACAGCTCCCATGTCACCTGTGACTGGGAATGTCACCTAGGTGGCCTACCTGGGGTGCTATAACACCTGCCACAGACCGGGTGGCCTGAACAACAGATACTTACTACTCACTGCCGGGGAGGCTGGGCGTCGGAGATCAAGCTGCCTGCAGAACCAAGCTGCCTTGGTTAGGACCTGCTTCCTGGCTTGTGGACGACCACCTTCTAGCTGTGTCCCCGCAGGGCAGAGACAGGAGACGCTGGTGTCTCTTCCTCTTCCTACAAGGGCACTGATCCCATCGTGGGAGCTCTGTTTTCACGACCTCATCCAACCCAAACCTCTTCCTTAAGGTCCATCCTAATACCATCAGGTCTGGAACCGTGAACTTGAAGGACACAAACATTCAGTCCATAACCTTTAACCTCCAAGTCCATGTCCCTCTCACGGGAAAAATACATGCATTCCATCCCAGCAGCCCTGAGTCTACACTTACTCCAGCATCAACTCACAAGTCTTCACCGAAGTCTCCCCTAAATCAGGTGGGGGCAAGACTTCATGATGTGCCATGAGACAGAATTCCTCCCCACCCGTGAGCCTGCAAAGCAGACGAGTTACATGCTCCCAGAGGACACCTGAGGAACAGGCTGAGGATAGACATGCCCGTTCCAGAGGGAAGCTCAGAAGGAGGAAGTAGGTTTGGGCTCCTGCTCACGTCACCCCCTAGCAATGCAACCACCAGACCTGAGCCTTGAGGATTATTCTCTCTGGTTCCGTGGCCATCTGCACGTGTCGCTGAGTGGCTGGGGCAAGGAGGACCTGGAATGCAGGGCCGACAAGGGAGAAATGGAGGTTGTTCAAAGCTTTCATTCAGATCTCTTTTCTCTTTCTTTCTCCATACAGAGTTTGCAGAACATCTACGATGTCCTCAAGTGGGTTTTCACCATATTTCCCCAGTTCTGCCTGGGTCAGGGGCTGATCGAACTCTGTTACAACCAGATCAAGTACGACCTGACCCACAGCTTTGGCGTTGATTCCTACGTCAGCCCCTTTGAGATGAACTTCCTGGGCTGGACCTTTGTACAGTTGGCCTCACAAGGCACAGTGCTTCTCGTCCTGAGGATTTTGCTGCACTGGGACCTTCTCCATCAGCTGCGGTACGTCCCACGGGGCTCACCCTGGGAGGGTGCTGACCTTTGATGGGAGATGGAGACAAAACTCCCTTCTGGAGATTGTAAGATAGGAAATGTGTCCCATGAGTGCTACATGTAGCTATAATGAGTGCAGATTGTGGGCGCCTGGGTGGCTTAGTCGGTTAAGCGTCCGACTTTCGCTTAGGTCATGATCTCGCGGTTCGTGGGTTCGAGCCCCGCGTTGGGCTCTGTGCTGACTGCCAGCTCAGAGCCTGGAGCCTCTTTCAGTCTGTGACTCCCTCTCTCTCTGACCCTCCCCTGCTCATGCTGTCTCTCTCTCTCTCCTAGAAATAAAAATATTTAAAAAATTAAAAAAAAAAAGAATGAGTGCAGGTTGTGAGTTTAGGGTTGTTTTTTTTTTTTTTCATTTTTCTTCTTTCTTTGCTTCTTTTCTTTTTTGATCACTGTGAGTCACCAACCCCAGGAAGGAGAATGTCAAAAGATAAAGCACCATCCTGTGAGGTGATCATTTCAATGATTTCTTTTTCCCCCATGGGAAGCGCTCAATTTCCCAACATGTTGGGTGAATGTCATTGATACCATAACATAAATCATTTTTATGGCTAAATGTCATTAACTCCTGGAATCAGGAATGGATAGAAACTCAGCACTGATAACCACCTCACCCTTTGCCAGATCCTGCTGCTGTTAATGCTGTGTTCTTACGTTTGTTAGATGAGGGTGAACATCTGCAGCATGAGGAATATATATGTGTATCTGTGTATTTCTTTTTTTTTTAATTTTTAATGTTTATTTTTGAGAGAGAGAGAGCATGAGCAGGGGAGGGGCAGAGAGAGAGAGGGAGACACAGAATCCAAAGCAGGCTCCAGGCTCGAAGCTATCAGCATAGAGCCTGACGCGGGGCTCAAACTCATGAACCGTGAGATCATGACCTGAGCCGAAGTCAAACACTTAACCAACTGAGCCACCCAAGTACCCCTAATATTTCTTAATACTGACATTTGCATATACCCCATATATAAATACATAATAATATAGAACTTAGGCTTATGTTGATGTGTCTACTTATGTAGACACACACATCTCTGTTATTCCTAGTGGGATTTAAGGTGGCTTTGCAAAGATTTCTAGAATATTGCCAGGTAACACATTTTCGATGGCCACGGAAGAAATGTGCTTTCCTGGGTCGGCCTCACAGGGGCGTGTCTCTCCCTCCGTGACCCATATGGCCTGCATCCACTGACTCGCTCTTTCCAAGAGCTCTGTTTCTCTCTAGAGTCACCTATGAGAGGGATCCTTCATGGAGAAATTACTAATGAGGACCATGTTGCTGGAGAAAACCGGTCAAGGATCACGGGCACGTTATTAGTATTTTGTGATGATAACTTGATAGAATTGACCTGTCCGTCTTTTCAAGGCACGCTTCCTTTATGATTCCTTCCAATCTGCTAAAAGCCGTGAACTTCTTTGAATACAAATCCCAAAGGCTGTCTTGAACTGGGCACTGTCACTCTGGAGTCCATAGCTTTCCAGCATCTGACTGAATTTGGAAGAGAATTTGGAGTGCTTTTCAAATGTAATTGGTTCTGTGATTGGCTCTTGTGAGTTTAATCTGTTTTAAACCCTAAATTGTGGAATCCTGTTGGATGGATGGATTTTAAGGGGCCCCAGTTTAAGGTAGCATCAAAATACTTAAAAAAATTGTTTTAAGTGTTTTTATTATTTATTTTGAGACAGAGATACAGAGCATGAGCAGGGGAAGGGCATAGAGAAAGAGGGAGACACAGAATCCGAAGCAGGCTCCAGGCCCTGAGCTGTCAGCACAGAGCCCGACTTGGGCTTGGAACCCAGGAACTATGAGATCATGACCTGAATCAAAGTCGAACGCTCAACTGACTGAGCCACCCGGGCGCTCCAAAAGACTTTTATTCTATTCTTTTCTAGTTGATTCAATTCCATTTCATTTATTTTACTTATTTACTCAGAGAGAGAGCAGGTAGGGGAGGGGCAGAGAGAGAAGGATAGAGAAAATCCCAAGCAAGCTCTGAGCAATTAGGGCAGAGCCCAATATGGGCCTTGAACTCACAAACTGTGAGATCATGACCCAGCTGAAACCAAGAGTCAAGACACTTAAACAACTGAGCCACCCAGGCGCCCTAAAAGACTTCGATTCGATTCGATTCGATTCGATTCCATTCCATTCCATTTATTTTATTTTTTACTTATTAGAGAGGGGGAGAGAGAGAAAGAGAGAGAGAGAGAGAGAGAAAGCAGGGGAGGGACAGAGAAAGAGAGGGATAGAGACAATCCCAAGTAGGCTCTGAGCTCTCAGGGCGGAGCCTATGTGGGCCTTGAATTCACCAACTGTGAGATCAGGACCCTAGCTGAAACCAAGAGTCAGGACGCTTAAACAACTGAGCCACCCAGGCGCCCGAAAGACTTCTTTTTAACAGAGAAGTCTTCTGTATTCCTCTGCAGAGCATAAGTTAAACCATAGTTTAGAATAATGTCTGTGCTATCCCCAGTAAATAGTCGGTGTTTATTGCTCGTTGTCAGCGTGGAGGCCGCAGGGCACTGAAATTCAATCTAATGTAGACACCCGCTGCCTACCACTCCCTACAGATGACTACTGCAGTGACCACCCACCACATTCATTTGTTTTTCCAAATGCACATCTAGCCAGGTCACCAACCATTGCCTACATGAGAAAATCCAAGGTTCTTAGCCAGGCCCCTCAAGCCGGGCTGCTCATGCTGTGTAGAGCACTCTGTGACCCTCACTCTATGCCCATGGGTGGCGTTTGCCTCTGGTCACTTGCCCAGTCGGGGCCTCTGGGAGGACTGGCCTCCCTCACTTCCAGCACCCACTCCCGGGGCTGGCTTGGTGCCTTCCCAGCCTATGTTTCTCTGATGGGGCCGCAGCGTCTTTTTATAGCATTTGCATGTTACTCTGCTCCACCTGACTGTCTGTGCCTCGGTGCGGGTGCAGCTGGGTCATGGGAGAGAACAGGAGACCCCGCCCTCTGCACCTGGCACGGACGGTGCCTGCTCGTGCACGGGGCCATGACCCACTGCTGTTCCTGGGAGCTGAGCAAGCGAGCCCACCTCCACGCTGTCTGTCCTAGCCTGCGCTGACCCTGACCCGCTGTCTGCTGCTGGCCTTCGGCTGTGTGCCCAGAACCCAAGTCTCCACTAGGACCTGAGCGCTGGCCGGATGCTGGTCAGGCTCGCTGCGTCTGGGGGCCTTCTAGCCTACACTCCCTCTCTCCCATCTGGAGCCGGGCTTTGCGCTCTGTGCCCTCGGTGCTGGCTGGGAGGGAGCGAGCACAGGCTGCAGGACAGACTTTCTCTGCCCAGTCTCCGGTGCCCGTGTGTATCCCTTCTCAGCCGGAGGGTGGCTAAGTGGCACATTTCCGGGCACAGTTAAGGGTGCTCTACATGTTGGGTTGTCCTGTGTCCGTTAGAATGACTTGACGCATAAACAGATATACTTTCCGCCCCTACCCACCCCCAACCTGATCTCCGAACCTCTGGGGATGCCTCCGAGGAGGTACCTGTACAACTTTCCAGGTGATTCCTGGGAAACAGGAAGGAAGATGGGGCTCAGTCTCACCTCTTTGAGTCAGAAAAGGCTGCCGGAAGGACAGGCGCACTGGAGGGTCCAGGGATGCGCCTGCAGCCAGATAGGGGGACGCACCCGCCAAACAGAGAAGCACGTAATGGGGTGAATTTTCACAAAGTGAGCATACCCACGTTCCCTTTCCCCAGACTGTCAGCACCTCCGAAGTCATTAACCACCTGGTACGGAAACGCTGTTCTTGCTTTGTTTTGTTTTAACACATTAAAACCATTACTTTTTGGGGCATCTGGGTGGCTCATTCGGTTGAGTGTCCAACTCTTGATTTCATCTGAGGTCATGATATCACAGTTCATGTTTGAGCCCCACAACAGCCTCCAAGCTGACATTGCAGAGCCTGGTTGGGATTTTCTCTTTCTCTGCCCCCCTCCCCCACATTCTCTCTCTTTCTCTCTCAAAATAAATAAAAAACCATTATGCTTTGTTAATTAAAATATATTAAGTTCACACACAGAGTTGTGGATTTCAGCTCTACTATAGAATCTTTGTTCACAGTACGGAGTACAAGCATTTCAGAAGCATTCCTGTGCTGAAAGAAGGATCTTGGAGTAGTGATTTCCAAAATCCTCCATTGTTTTTGTTTTTGATTTGTTTCTCGTGCTTTTGCATGTTCTACAGATGGTGTCATGTAATACATACTTCCGAGTCGCTAGCTGTGTTCTCTCATCATCGAGGTTGTGTGTTGAATAAATTCTGTCTTTGTTTGATGGTGATGTCAGGCACAGAAAAAGTTATATGGAGGGGCCGTCTGAGTGGCTCAGTCAGTTATGTGTCCAGCTCTTGATTTCAGCTCAGGTCATGATCTCCTGGTTCATGGGATCGAGCCCCACCCCAGATGGGTCTCTGTGCTGACAGGTAGAGCCCGCTTGGGATTCTCTCTCCCCCTGTCTCTGTCCCTAGCCCACTCGTGCTCACTCTCCTCTCAAAATAAATAAATAAGCTTAAAAAATGATAATAATCAGGGAAAAGACCCAGGGGCACTGGGAGCTGGCAGTGGGTATTTTATGTTATGTGCCTTTTTATCTTAAAATAGTTTAGGACTCCCAAGAAATTGTAGAATTTGTACAGAGACCCTGTGCACCCTTCACCCAGTTTCTCCCAATGATGCTGTGATAATATGGTCGTCTTTTACATAACAATATTATTTTGGCAAAACCAGAAAATTGATTTTGGTATAGCCTTCACTCGGTGGTCTGTGTCCATTCAACGATTGAAAGGTTGGCATGTTACAGTTTCCAGGGGAAGCTGAAATTTACTTTAAAGTTAAAATGTGCCAGGTTGAAAATCCTAAGGAAGGTTGAAAAGCCAGCAGCTCGGATTTGAATAGATCAAGTTGAAAATGAACTTTGTGCTCCTCTGACAAATGCTTATTAAATATTATGTGACAATCCGCTTACGCAATGTAACGTGTACTATGTAACTATAACGTTTGGGCTCTTTTAGAAAAGTGGACTTTGTAAAAGTACTTTGATGACTCCTTGTAACAATTTCGTGATAAATTCTTTCTCCACCGGGCACAAAAGTCTGACATAACTTTATTATTCGTAAAATTGAAAAACAGCTCTAGTTGGGCATCCACCCACTTCGCTGTCTTTTAGGACGCGTGCGTTTCCTTCATGTTAGGAGATGAACATGGACTGTTGCTCATTGTTACTAATCCTGAGGGCGGAAGTGAGGTGTGTGGAGTAGAGCTGATTTGCCATCTCTAGGCCGCATCTTCCTTTTTTTAATTAAATTTTTAAAAATGTTTATCTATTTTTGAGAGAGAGAGAGCGTGAGCAGGGCAGGGGCAGAGAGACAGGGAGACACAGAATCAGAAGCAGGCTTCAGGCTCCACGCTGTCAGCACAGAGCCCGCCGCGGGACTTGAACCCATGAATTGAGAGATCATGACCCGAGCTGAAGTCGGACCTTCACCGACTGAGCACCCCCCCTCCCCTGACGCCCCTCCTGAGATGGCATCTTCTGTGTCGATAGGTGTCTGACCTTCCTCGCCCTCCCTCTCTGGACTCTTCGAGTTCCTATTCCCAGGTGTGAATGAACCCTTAACTTTATCTTCCCAGAGGACACTCTGCCATCCAAGGCACAGTCACGGCTTCCAAGGATACGGACGTGGAACAAGAGGAGATACGAGTGTTGAAAGGACGGACGAGTGAAGACCTTCTCGTGTTATGCAACCTTAGTAAAAGCTATGGGAGCTGCTTCAGGAAGACCGTCGCTGTTCAAGATCTCAGCGTGGGCATACGAAGAGGAGAGGTGGGCACCGGCTAATCGCACCCCTTTCCGTTACAAACCCGGGTAACTCTGGCCGGTTTCCGTAGTGCAGCGGTTATCACGTTCGCCTCACAAACCCGGGCAACTCTAACCTGTGGGCGCTGCTTCTCCTGTGCTCAGAGTAGCTGAGGTCAGAGCTAGAAGCCTCCACGTTTCTGGGATTTCCGCAAAACTCAGCAGACACAGAATCTGAGTGGACAATCTGTTGGCTCTCTCCCTGGGGGAGACCTTGCTGCTGATGGCATTTATTCTGTTTCATAATTTTAAAAATTTCACAAGGCTGAGTTTTAATCGTTATCTGGGCTGCGGGATGCCGTGTTACTGAGTGCACGTATTTTCCCAGTCCAACTCGTTAAGGGGACCTGTTCTAACTCTTACTGGGACTTCTGTACTTCTTAAACGGCCAGTTAAGCCCACCTCGCCAAATGCTCCTCGGGAAAGGGAACGAGCAGTCACACCGAAGCAGTAGCTCAGAATTTTTTTTCTTGTCATGGAGATGGCATTAATTCTACCAGAAATGTTTAATCAGAATGGCTAGAAGCCGTGCAGATTATTCCTGATCTGTGCTTAATTGCATAGAAAGAAATCAAGTCTGAAAATGATTACCTTTAATTAACAGTTAAAAACACAAGGTGCCTTGCACTCATATTCTTACGAGCTCCCGAGACATACGAAGTAGGTCACGCGGTCCCCTGAGCGGCGGCGAGGCTGCGCTGTGGGCAGAGAGCCCGTGTTTCAGAGAAGAGTGTTCTGAGGTAGAGAAGCCAGGGAACCTGTGTAAATCAATCCATCATGGCCTCACGTGCTGCCCTGTGGTTTGTGGCCGAAGAGGACAGGACACTAAGGAAGGAGCTTTCTCACAGTTGCTATTTGCCACTCAACTCAGAGACTCACTGTCTAACTTTTGGTGTCGTATTGAACTATATTTTTTTTTTATATATTTTTTATTTATTTCTAGGAGAGAGAGACCGCGTGAGCAGGGGAGGGTCAGAGAGAGAGGGAGTCGCAGACTCTGAAACAGGCTCCAGGCTCTGAGCTGGCAGTCAGCACAGAGCCCGACGCGGGGCTCGAACCCACGAACCGCGAGATCATGACCTAAGCGAAAGTCGGACGCTTAACTGACTAAGCCACACAGGCGCCCCCATATCGAACTTTATTTTTAAATGTTGCTTCAAAAATCAACTTTTGCTGCTCCCTGTCCATGGTAGTTTTAAGCCGGAGGGTGTGAGAACTTGGAACGCTTTGTAAGGAAGATGGTCCACGGATCGGACATGATCCCAGATGCTACTCACATTGGAGTTCTATTTTTGCTGACCTTCTTTTTTTTTTTTTTAATGTTTATTTATTTTTGAGAGAGAAAAATGGAGCACAAGTGGGGCAGGGGCAGAGAGGGAGAGGGAGAGAGGGAGGCATAGAATCCAAAGCAGGTTCCAGACTCTGAGCTGTCAGCACAGAGCCCAACACGGGGCTCGAACTCACGAACTGTGAGATCAAGACCTGAGCCGAAGTTGGGCACTTAACCGAATGAGCCCCCCAGGAACCCCTGTTTGCTGGACTTTTTATGAATGTAGTGGTTTAAATACTAAGATGTAAAGTGCTTTGCAAGAGCCGGTGGGAGAGGTGGAGGTGACTAAGATATGTCCCTGTCCCCTAGGAATTAATAACCAGGAACACAGAGTGTTATGGACCGGCCTCCATGCTGCCCCAAGGCAGGATGAGGTTTAAAGCACCCGAGTGGTACTGCCTAAGAGCTGCAGGTCCAGAAATGGCAGCTGGACCCCTATGTCAGATGAGGAGGGGGAGATCCAGTGAGATGGGAAAAGCATGGATATTGACGTGGGGGACAATTCAGAAGAGCAGCTGTGACCCAGAAGTACAGAGAAGGGTCCTGTGCTTCATCAGGTAGGGACAGCACCAGGAAGCCCAGAATGGGCACTTCCCCAAGATTCAAGGAGCCAGGAGGTCTGCCTGGGTCAGTGACAGAGCCAGCTTCTGCCGTCAGCCACAGACAGCCCTTGGGAGGGGACTTCAAGGCCACATAGCCTGTCTCTACCATAGAGTCTGCAGCTGAGAGTGTGCTGAGATGCAAGGTGAAGTCTAGGTCTGGAAAAGACAGCAAGAAGGCCATTTTTCACAGGGAGTATGAGACAACATTGAGCCAAAAAACCACGAAAAACATTGACTTGGTTTAGAACTAACGTTTATCTTAACTAATGTCAGGATCAGCCTAGAGTCTGAGTGGGGGGCGGGGAGAAGAGGCAGGGGGTTGGGGAGAGTATTCTTAGAACATAGAACATACTTTGTGCGGCAGAGTCAAGGGCATAATGATTACAATGACGTGGCTTCCAAAAACTGTGATCATCCAGAGGGACACAGTTAGGACCTTGAGGAGACGGGAGGTCTCCGCACAGTCCCGGGTAGCTGGCCTTCACTTCCGTCCTCTGGAGTGTTCCTTACATGAACTTATGGGTCCCTGATGGTCGTTGAAATGGTTCCTGTGCTCAGACACCAGGAGAACTTTCCAGACTGCATAGCAGTCTGCAGAGTGCTTGATAACAACCACGTGATGTCCAAGGTCTGCGGGTGTGGGGGCGCGGAAATGCCAGCTCCGAGCCGGCTGAGAGTCAAGACCGTCTGCCTTAATTTAGATGTTTTTCCCTTCCTTCTTCCCTCCCGACAGTGCTTTGGGCTCCTGGGAGCAAATGGTGCTGGGAAGAGCACCACATTCAAGATGCTGAACGGGGACATCCCTCCAACCTCAGGACACGCGGCCGCAAGGACTCCCACAGGGTAAGTGCAGGCGCGGCCGTTCTTACTGGGTGTGCACAGAACGAGGGGCCCTAGAACCGGGCTTCCTGGTGCCCCCCCCCCCCAGAAAGGGAAGATCCCCCAGGGCTGAGGGGAAAGCTCGATGTGTCTGGCCAGAGGGTCAAGGGCGTGTTGGCCAAAAGCAGCCAGGGCTGACCTTTCCCATGGTGCCTGAAGGGGTGCAGGTGTCCGGCCGCCCGTTGCCGAGGGAGAATGACACTGTTGGGGGGGCTGGTGCTTCTCACTTCACCAGCAGATCTATCTTCAGACGCCCGCTTCCGTGCGAAGGTAGCCAGAGGGGACTGTGTGGTTTCCCTCTCTGGCCCCCCCAAACCCCCCCTCTTTCCAGTAGATGACTTGATGGCTTTAGCGGGGGAGAGTATACATGTTAATCCAGACAGTGGCATCTGGGGGAGCAAGGAAGACCTCTGTCCTCTGTGCCCCTTGCTGCCAACACCACGGAAGATGCTGGGCGTGCTCCCTGCCAGAGCTGCCTGAGGCCGGCTGGTCCCATCAGGGCTCTGTAGGCGACCCCGCACACAGAGCTTCATCCCCACGTGCTGCTCCTCACAAGGTCTTCCAGGGTGTGCCTCACCCCGTCTTCTGATTCCTCCCAGGCTGCAGTCCCCACTTGGGAACATCTGTCTGGACGTGTGGGCGCCATCAGACATGTGGTCCTCCAGAAGGCTCTCTGTCTTCTCTGTCCCTGCTCTGATCAGGACTGGTCCTGGGAGTGTTCTCTACTGAAAAGACGAGATGCCTTGTTAACCTCTCTGGAGGCTGGATTTGCTACCTGGTTCTTTCTCTGCTGAGTGTGACCCAGGAGCAGCCCTGCCCCCCGTCCTCATCTCCCGCCTGCACTCGTACAGCTGTCTCTATGGCAGCAAATTCATTGCAACTTGATAGTGTCCATAATAGATTTCAGACATCTGTAGCCCAACTCTTGTAAGGAAAACCTCGCGCCTTGCTGTGCATCCTCAGAAGGCCCTTATATAAATAGTTGATGTCAGTCTGTTCCCTCAGGGGTGACATTCACACCTGAGCACATTTGGAAACACTGTGCTTGAGGTTTTTAAAATTTTATTATTATTATTATTTAATGTTTATTTATTTTTGAGAGAGAGACAGAGTGCGAGCAGGGGGAGGGGGCAGCGAGAGGGGGAAACACAGAATCCGAAGCAGCTCCAGGCTCTGAGCTGTCAGACCTGGGGGCTCGAACCCACAAACCACGAGATCACCATCTGAGCCCAAGTCGGATGGTTAGCCAACTGAGCCCCCCAGGCGCCCCTTGAGGTTTTTATGTATAGGTTGAAATAGACTATTGAGTACAATTGTTTGAAAATATTAAATCACCTATTTGTTAGCTAATTGTCGTTCTGTGATGTGCCAGGCACCAGGAAAGCAAAAAAATCTCCTTGTATTCCTAAAATGCAGTGCTAATATCTCCCGCTGGTGTGATTTAAACATACATTCATACCTGGGGGTGTATATTTCATTTTATCTGTTACCTGTGTGTGAAGTGTGGGTGGTTGAATAGGGTGTTTGTGTGAAGTGATGCATATTTTATTTATTTTACCTTTTTATTTTTTTAAGTTTATTTGTTTGTTTTGAGAGAGAAAAAGAGAGAAGGATGGAGGGAGCACATGAGCGAGGGAGGGGCAGAGAGAGAGGGAGAGACAGACCCAAGTAGGCTCTCAGCACGGTGCCTGATGCGGGGCTTGAACCCACGAACTGCGAGATCATGCCCTGAGCTGAAATCAAGAGTCTGATGCTTAACCCATCCAGCCAAGGGATGCATATTTTAAAATCAGAGAGGAATATAAAAGATCATTAGGTACACTTCATTTACATTATTCCAGGACCATCTCATAATCCCACTCAATAATAGTTATTTTATTTTTAGCAAATCTGCTGGGCATAAAATCTCATTGTTAAGTTAATTTGCACTTCTTTCATTATTCATAAGCTTGAATGCTTTCTGCACATTTATTTGTAAGGTGGGTTTCCTTTCTGCCAATCGCATGTCACAGCCTTTGTCCTTTTCTCTATAAGGTTGTCTGTCTTTTTGTTACTTGTTCGTGTGAGTGTTTTCCATACATTCAACTGGAAACTAATCTTTTGCATGTCTAATGTGTTTGAAGAATTATCTTTCAGTGGCACCTTGTATTTTAACACTGTTTTAAAAGTTTCTGTGAGTAGAAATTTGCAGTTCTGATGAAGCCAATTTATCATTTTTTCCCCTTTCTTATTTCTTGTTCTTTGAACGTTAAGAGATTCTCCTCATTCCAAGGTCATAAAGCTTAACATTCATGTCTTTAATTTATATGGAGTCTATATTTAGATACTGTATGGTAGAAATATACAATAAAACCTTGGCTTGGGAGCCTAATTTGTTCCCAGGACACATTTGTCATCCGAAGCATTCATATCTCAGAGCGAATTTTAAGAACCATTGGCTCCGTTGTGGTCATGTGACATTCGATGTCACGTACAACTAGTATTGCAAGACATGGCTCGTTTATCAAGTTAAAATTTATTAGAAATGTTTGCTCCTTTTGCAGAACACCCGCAGAACAAGTTCCTCATAATCCAGTTTTACTGTAATTTGATTTTTTTTCTATCCTGAATTCCAATTGGCTTAATGCCACTTTCTCAACAAGGTGTCTTTTTGTCCATCAGTTAGAAGCACTTTTGATTTATACCAAGTCCTCAGATTCGCTGGAGCTCCTCCTTAATATCTCTTGCTTCGCAGTGCATCCCCTTCTGCTGCTCTACCTGACTCTCTTCCGAGTTCGTGACTTTCAGAATTGTTGGAACTCTTTCAGGACCTTTATTCCATATTATTTTTCAAGATCATTTTACCCTCCTCTATAAAAATGTCCCAGTATTGGCATTTTGATTGAGACTGCATCATGTTTGTACTTTAATTTGAGGAAATTGAAATCTTGCTGAAATTTTGTCTGCCTTTTCCATGATGATGGTATATGCAGGCATTATTCAAGTCATTTAGAAATGTTTAATTGTATTTTGCAATTTTCTTTATAGAGTCCTTGCGTATCTGTTTTAGATTTATTCCCCAGATAAATGTGTCTCCATCAGGAAGTATTGAAACTCTTTAATTGCTTTTTAAAAAATATTTCTTCCTATTGGGTTTTTCTCACAGCTTCGGGCTTTGCTAGCTGACCTCACAAGTTGAGTTTATGAGTTTGCTTTCGCTCTCTCTCTTCGTGTGTGTCTGCCTGTGTCTGTCCGTTCCGTGCTTCCTTCCACTCCCGATTCCCTGGGGCCGCAATGCAGAGCCAGGTCCTGTGATGACAGCTTTGGGGTCCTAGCCTGCAGCGATGGGGGAATATCCATTTCCAGTCGCCGCATAGCTTAGTCTGAGCAGCCTGGAGGATGAGGAACCTCTAAGCTCTAGGCTGCTTCTCTCCACCTCCTTCAGGAGGGGCGGGGCTGTGCTGTAGACCCAGGTATCAACCCATACTTGGTTCTGGCCTCTCGTCATCATGCAGGAGCCCTTCTGGTCCCCATTACCTTGCAGGGGTCAGATGCCCAGCCGCTTTCTGCAACTCTGTTCTTGAACCCACCAGGCAATGGCTTGAGACCGGCTCCAGCATTCTCTTATCTCTAATGAGCAGAGACATTTGCTTGTGTTTTTCTTTTTGAGACACTAATTACATAGCAATGAACGAAGTGAGTAAAATCTAGTCATCGTTTTTTGGGTGGAGAGGAAGGAGTGTGAAGCATTGTGTTCACAGTTTCCAGTGGGATTTTTATTGCTTTTTATGTTGCGGTTATGGATTAATTTGGGAAGAACTGAACTTTTTATACTGTGTCTTCTCTTCTGCAAACCTTGAACTGTCCAAAAACTGTCAAAATGATAAGCAGAGGCAGTGCCTGTACTGCTCACTGAAGTGGTAGCATTTCTGTGTTACCACCTATGATGCTTTGAAAATTATGAACATATTATTTGTTACTTTGTGAGTATTATTTTGCGATTTTATTTAAAGTTCTTTAAGGAAACCCTTAAACGTATCATTTTGCATTCATACAGATGAATGTTTTATAGTTCTTATTCTTTTGACATATTTATGTCATAAATAGCAGATTCTTGATTATTAGCCTGGCCTTCCCTTTCTATAGTATATTTAATTTTGTTGTGGATGTAAATCTCTTATTTGCTAAATTTTATACAGATTTTAAAATGTATGATTTATAAGAAAAACTGGTTTGCTATTGAACACCTTCATTTTCTATCCTTCCTGTTAAATTATTCCTATTCTTAAGTTTTGTCACAATTTTGACAATTTATAGTTTCTTCAAGCCCTATTTACTTAATTTAAAATTTTGACTGCTAACTTCTCATTTTAAGTTCTTAATTTGAATGAGTTTTAAAGTCTTCTTTCTCTAAATAAGTTATCAAATCATCAAGTCTATAGTCTACCTCAATCCTAAAACTGTAATAATGGCATTATTGCTGTCACTGCCCTTTAAATGACATATAGAATTTTGAGTTAGGTTTTCAAAAAGTTTCATACATTTGTTATTTCCCTGATGATGAGTGACATTATCTTTTAATGTGTCTGTTGGGCATCTGGATGTCTTCTTTGGAGAAATGTCTATTCATGTCTTTTGCCCATTTCTTAACTGGATTATTTATTTTTGGGTGTTGAGTTTGATAAGTTCTTTATAGATTTTGGATACTAGCCCTTTATCAGACATGTCATTTGCAAATATCTTCTCCTTTTCTATCGGTTGCCTTTTAGTTTTGTTGATTGTTTTCTTTGCTGTGCAGAAGCTTTTTATCTTTTTTTTTTTGACGGAGAGTGTGTATGCGTGTGAGCTTGCACAAGTGGGAGAGGGACAGGGGGGAGAGATTGAGAGAGAGAGAGAGAGAGAGAGAGAGACAGAATCTTAGGCAGGCTCCATGCCCAGTGCAGAGCCTGATGCAGGGCTCAGTCCCACAACCCTGGGATCATGAC